CGAGTTTCGAGTTTTGGAACGAGCTCACCATCGTAGGTACCTAGCTCATCAAGCAGGTAAAGGAGTGTTAGAAGTGGTTTCCGAGGAAGCCATGAAAGCAGAAGGGTATGTCTTGGGGAAGAAGAAAGTTTTCTCTGCTGCCGTTCTCTGGGGTTTATCCAATGATTACGAGTATGTTGACAGGGGACTCTGGAGGGGCAGAGCCAAGGAGACCAATTTCTCGGACTCGCTAGTAGCAATCATTTGCAACCAGTGTTGGGCGCCCAGGACAGTTGCCACTCGTGCTTCTGCGTTGCCTGCTGGGCGCCCTGACAGAGGCGCCTCGGCAAGTTGCTGGGCCGCCACTTTTGTAGTTCAACGGTATTGCCTGTCGCCCATGGACATCTGGGTGACCCAGAACCCGCGCGTGCAGCCCGCGATTTGCATCGATGGTTTCTTGTTGGTCAGCCACAGCAGTAAGCCCATCATATTGATAACAGACCTTGCCGCGGCCTCAGCTAGTATGCATCAGGCGATCTTTCTCGATCTGAAATGTGACGTCGCTAGGCACGCGGCTGCTGTTATGGCTCCAACACCGATGATCCAGGCCGATCTTGCGGCCAAGCTCGGTCAATGGGCTGGCCCGAAAGCCGCTCTGACCGGGCCTGCAACCACCAACTTAGGAGTCGATTTCACTGCTGGAGCCAGACGAAGGTGAAAGAATAGACCCCGCAGATTACGAGCCGTTCGCGCCGCAGGAGCAGACGCAAAGAAGATCTGGAACACTGGCCTTCAGCAGGCGGGCTGTTTCGGGGCCGATATTCTGGGACTCGCGGTTCAGGGGCTCCAGGATGCGCAACATCTGTTCCTGAAGGCCGCGGGGCCCAAGTGCGCTACTCGGTCGCGTGCCTTCTCGCTTGCTGCGCTTGAAGACCCCACTTTGACATCGGCTGTGGGACCGTGCATTCATTGGAGTACGATTGTTTCCAGGGCTGCTCAAGACTCAGGGACATCCGAGTTCAGACTTCCCTAACTTAGACAACTTGCAGCTAACATCCCGGCGCAGCCACCTTCAGGTTGGGGCAATGTCAGAGGTCCCCTAGGTGCGGTCTATTTAAGTCAACCCAGGGCTGGCTGGTCATGGATCAGTCCCATGGAATTCATGAGCAGGGAAGGCGAGGACCACCTGCTCACGACCAGCTCGCTTGCTCTCATTCGTCGGATGTTCGGCGTCGTGGGAGGGGCAGCAGGCGGAGATCGCGGCAGTGAAGATGGGAGTGCCTGTTGTCGACTTGACTCACGCTAAAGCAGCGCTCGCAGACAAACGCCTTAGCAAACAAGATCGTAGCCTCCTCGTGTCGTACCTGGTCCAATCGACTTGAACCGATTGCAGGCCCAAGGATGCGGGGTACGACGCGGGCGCGACTTGTATTTGCGGGGCCCCATCAGGCCACCTTTACCGCAGGTTCCTGGAGCGCCCCGGTTGTGCTGATCTTCGGGAAGAATACTTTGCTGAAGGCGATCTTGAAGCCCTCAGAGACCCCCTGTCCTTTGCTATGTGTGCTGGTTTTCCTGAGCATCCGCCCTTTAAGGTCCTGAGGCCCATAGGTCTTGGCCTGGCTGAGGCCCAGTTTTGGCCCCGAAATGGCCTTTCGCCTTCGGAAGCCTTTGTCGGCGATGTTTATGTCGACGGCAGCGTGGCCAAGGACGGCCACCCGTGGTTCCGCGCCCCAGAATGGGCCACGGCTGAATGTGGTGCCTACGGAGAAGTTGAGGCCCACCTATGCGGGCAAGTCGGAAGTGCCTTTCCGCCCGCGTCTCCTGCGGCGGAATTTCTAGGGTACCTTGCCTCCAGCCAGTTCAGGGGGGTGACTAAGATTCTTTCTGATTTCAAAGGTGTGGTGAGTTTCCACAGCTTGGGTCAGCCTGCTAGCAAGAGGAATATGTACGATGGGCTGGGCTCCATGGCCAGGCTAGTAGACGCCAGTTGCGCGGGGGGTTTTGAAGTTGCCAAAGTTAGAGCCCATCAAGATCTGCATTTCCTGGACCGCAACTCTGACGAGTGGCGGCGCGCCTCGGGGAACGACGCCGCTGACAGAATTGCCAGACTATCAGCTTCGCGCCTCCCCCAGCCCTCGGAAGGACATATAGAGAGAGAGAGAGGGAGAGAGAGAGAGAGAGAGAGAGAGAGAGAGAGAGAGAGAGAGAGAGAGAGAGAGAGAGAGAGAGAGAGAGAGAGAGAGAAAGAGAGAGAGAGAGAGAGAGAGAGAGAAAGAGACGCCCAGCAGCAGCTAGAAAAGAAAATCAAACGTTTCCTTCGGCATGCGTCGAATGCTCTTCCGCCGTGGCCCTCGGTTGCCCCGGGGGTTGGGGGAGAGGCCTCGAGGGCCCGGCGAAGGCAACGAGCCCGTCTGTTGGTGCTCGATCGATCGCGGAAGTGTGGCAGAGCAGGGCTAACTCAGGGGGGTCCTCTTCGGGCCCTGGAGCCGCGGCGGCTCCTCCCCTTCCTCGCCCCCTCCGCGGTGCCCGAGCGCGTGCCCGTGTCGGGCATGTGTGAGCGCGGCCGAAAACCCATTGGTTATGTTGTCTCTGTCACTCGCGATGCATGTCTGATAGCGTCGAGATTTCCCGAGCCGAGGAGTCGCGCCCAGGCAGTGCAGCTCGTCTGGCCAAACTTGCCGAGCAGCCGAATGGCCATGAGCTTGCAGTTTTCGACAGAATTGAAGATGCGAGTTTTATTGTTGCATGCCAGTTGTGCGGCAAGTATTCTGAGCGTGCCGCTCAGAGCCCCCGGAAGAGCTGCCCCCCATCAATTCATCTCAACCTTTTTCAGAAGGCGCCGACGCGTGCCTTGCCGAGGGGGGGACACCCAATGGCCTCTAAGACGGGCCCCATGGTGTCATCAAGCCTCCTATCCCGATTGATGAGGTTGCCGCCCATGCAGCCCAGGCGCAAAGCCTTACATAGTTCCGCATCAACTTTGCTCTAGAGTCCAAACAGGCCCACGCCGGGGACGCGGCCTGCCCACCGTCCTGGCGTTATTTACACCGGGTGTGGGCAGTGTCGAGTCGTCCTGGCGTCGCTTCGGGCACTCTGTGAACTTGTGCGTGCGTGCGTGCGCGCGCGGCCCCGCGCGCGTGTCAGGCACCCCGGCTCAGGGGGAAGGAGCGCTGGGCATTCTTCCTCTGCGGCACGTGCTGCAGTTCCGCCCAGGCCCGCAGCAGGTTTGGATCTGGGGTTATGTTTCGTCCTGACTGGCGGTGCTGGTGACGCGCAGCCAGCCCTGGAACTGGAGCCTAGGGGTTCCGTCAGCCAGGCGAGGCTGGCCGTCTTTTTCATTGTAGCGCGCTGTTTGGCGATGCCTGTTGCGCGGCCGTGGAGCGCTTGCAGGCTCCCTCCACGGTGACACTGGCACAAGGGGCGCCCCCCGAGGGTTCTGGGCAGGTGGGCTTGGGTTGCCAGTCCACCCCGACTGATGCTCAGCCCCAAACCCTTTCCCACCCTCCGCTCCTGTGCGGCGGAGGGAAGTAACGCTGTGGCTAGGTGTGCAAACGCCACATCAGGGCCCATCTGTGTATTTGTGCGTGTGTGCGTGCGTGCGAGGGGCCTAGCACGCGTGTCAGGCACCCTGCCTCAGGGGGAAGGAGCGCTGCGCACTATTTTCTGCGGCGCAGTGCTGAAGTATCTGCGTAGGCCCGCAGCAGGCTCGATCTGGGGCTTGTGTTTCGTTTTGGCTGGCGGTGCTGGTTACGCAGCCAGCCCTGGAACCCGAACTTTGGGGTTCCGTCAGTCAGGCGATGCCAATTCCTTTTTTCACGGTGCGCGCTGTTTGGCGAGACCCTGTTGCACGGCCATGGAGCGCCTGGTGGCGCCCTCCACGGTGACAGTGGCACAGGGGGGGCCCCCGTGGGTTTCTGGGCACGGTAGTGGACTTGGGTTGCTAGTCCGCCCCGACAGTTGCTCAGCCCCCCCCCCCCTCCCCCCCCCCCCCACACACGATACATTGGGGCCCAGTCCACGGGTTTGGTGGGGTCGGGTCGGCCCTCCTCCCTCCTCTCCTCCCCCTCCCCCTCCTCCTCCTCCTCCTCCTCCCTCTCCTCCTCCTCCTCCTCCTCCTCCTCCTCCTCCTTCTCCTCCTCCTCCTCATCCTCCTCCTCCTCCTCGGTGGCGGCCGCTTTCCTGGCCGCGCCTCCCTGGCAGCGCGAGGCGCTACAGCACGCTCGTTCCATGTGTTGGGTTCGGGCGTGCGCCTCGAAAAGGGGGGGCGCATGGCAATGAGCCGGCGGATGTCTGCCCAGACACGATCGCGTCGAACAGAACTCAGGACGGGAGGCCTTTGGTTATTTTCGACCCGTGGACTCGCGCCATGTGTTGGGTTCGGGCGTGCGCCCCCGAAGGGGGGGCGCATGGCACTGCGCCTGTGGATGTCTGCCCAGACACGATCGCGTCGTAGAAAACTCAGGACGGGAGGCCTTTCTGGCTATTTTCGACCCCTAGACTCGCGCCATGTGTTGGGTTCGGGCGTGCGCCCCCGAAGGGGGGGCGCATGACACTGCGCCTGTGGATGTCTGCCCAGGCACGATCGCGTCGTAAAAAAACTCAGGACGGGAGGCCTTTGGTTATTTTCGACCCCTAGAGGCCCTGGCCGGGCCCCAGGACCGTACAACAGCGACTCAGGATGAAAAGCCAGTCCCGGGGAAAGGGACTGGAATTCCAGGGACGCCGTTCTGAAAACATCAGGACGTCGCATGTCTGGGTATCGTTCGCCCTCTGGGATCCGACGTTTCGAAACAAAGGGCGTCGCGACGAATCACAGCGGAGCCCTAGACCCCATTTTTCTGCTAAGTTTGTCGAGGCGGATCGATCGGTGAGGACCCCGGGGCCCGAAGCCGCGCGAATACGTTTGGTGGTTGACAAAAATCGCAGCGCGCGGATCTTTAGGGTCGTGCCCATTTGTTTCCTGTTAGCCGCCACGCTGCATCATTGTGACGTGCGGCGGTCGCGTTCGCCACAGGACGTAGATTCCGACAGCGATTTAGAGCTCGACGGGGACGAGCGCTGCTGCGATCAGGCCGCCGCCCGCCACCGCCCTTTGAGCGCGCGGGCAGGGTAAATCGGGCCTCGACCTTTGGGCACGATCGAATTTCACACGAAAAGTATGGGGACGAATACCATTTTGAGCACGACTCGCTGTCGGTGTCGCCGCGGACATGGTCCACTCGAGACAACAGGTTGCCTGCCCAACAGCCAGCCGCTGTCGGTGTTGGACAATTCGTGCTGTTGGGCGTCGTGCCCATTTTTCCGTATCTGCTCCAGGCATGCCAAAGTTTGGTTTCGGTTGCGGCTTTGTTCGCGCGTGGGGTTTGAGGTTCGAGGTTTTCGGGCGTCTCTGTCGGTTCTCAGCGCATTTCTAGCTGGCTGGGGCGAACGGGGGGAATGTGAACTGGGGGCGTGCAGCATCTGCTGCGTGCAGTGGGTTTCCGCGTCGTCGCCGGACTCTTTTCCTCGATGCGCAGCCGCCTCTGGCTCCGGGAGGTGCCAGGGAAGCCAGCTGCGTGCGGATTTGTGGTTGACCTTACCAGCCTCGAACTTATCCCTATCCCGAAGATTGACACGCCAAAAGGCGATGACAACCTTAGGGCTGCGCCCTCAAAAATAAGGGAGTCCCTAAGATTGGCATCGTGATGAGGAGGTGCCCAGCATAGGGATAGGGATATGTCCCAGGCTGGTAATGGCCCCCTGTCTGCGATCCCCCCCTTGCTCGCCCGGCCCGAGCTTTCGGCTTCGCCCGTCGGGGCGGCTCCGACGGCCCAGGGGCCCGCTTCACCTGGCGCGGGTGGTGGCAGGCTTCCGCAGCGCTGGCAGCGTCGGCCTCGGCCCCAGCGCCAGGTGGGCCCAGGGGCAAGGGTAAAAATCGCTCCAGAGCGCTGAGGAGCGCCGCCAGAGTCATCCTGAGCGCTCTCTGGAGCGGCCGCGGCGCCCGATAATGAGATCCTCCAGGACCGCCGGATCTCAGAGATCCCCGATTTGGCCTGGTCTGACGTTGTCCTGGTTCTCGCTTCGTCGTGGGGAGGATCGCGAGTTGCCGTTGCCTGTCTGACCCGCGCCCGAAAGTCGTGCGGGCCAGGAATCGAGGGTCGCACGTGGCCCGGCCGTCAAAGCCAGCGCGCCCCAGGCCAGAGAGCGTATACACATGCATATGAGCCACCCTTGGCCCCGCCACCTGCCCTGCTGAGCCCGAAGCGACGCCGCATGTCAATTCCCCACGATGGCTCCTGGGGTCGGGGCGAGGCCTGAGATCTTCCATCGTTTTCGTCTGCTCTCGGCGGTTTTCCAGCCTCTCTGGGTCCGTTCCGGCAGCTGCGCTTCGCCGAGCGCGTTCCTGGGGCGCCCAGGTCATGCCGAACGGCCGTCGGAGACTCGAGGCGGCGTGACCCAGAAAACTAGACGACGGGGATCACTCAGTTCGGACGAACGGGGGGATGTGAAATTGGGAGGGTGCAGGATCTGCTTCGTGCAGTCAGTTTCGGCGCCGTCGCCAGGCCTTTTCCTCGATGCGCGGCCGTCTTACGGCGCCGCGAGGTTCCACGAGAGTTAGCTACATGAGCTGATTCACTAATCCACCTTTGTCACCCCATTCTCCTTCGTCCGACCTGGCAAGTGCTGGTGCTCGCACACGTGGATCCGTACATCTCTTGGCCCAGAGGAATTTGGGTCCTGGATGTGGCGCTTTTCGCCGCCGTCGCCACCGCGGGGGGTCCCTGGGCATTCCGCACCCATCGCGCCTCCGCCCTCTCTCCCCACTGGCCCTCCGCGCTCGGCTCGGGGCATTCCCTTTCCCTCCGCGCCCCGCAGCGACCCCGAATGAGCTCTTTGTGCACGCTCCGTGTCCCCCAGCTGGCCCTGGCGAGGGGCGCGCTGCGGCGCCCTGGTGCTCTCCTGCTGCCGCCCGCGCGGAGAACCGGCCCGCCGCTCTCTTCCTCCTGCAGTCCCGACGCTGGAGCCAGGACCGCCTTGGGCTCGGGAGGGCTTCTTAGAAGCACCCCTGCTTCTCAGAAGGGGGGCAGGTAGGGGGTAGCGGGAGGGGGGAAGGCTCCTCAGAAGCACCCCTGCTTCTTAGAAGGCGCGGGCCTTCTCTGGAGACCTGAGGCCGAGGCCTTCTAAGAAGCAGGGTCCTTCTGAGAAGCCTTCCCCCCTCCCCCTACCCCCTTTTTGTCGCGCCGCCAAGGGGGGGCTGTGGCGTTCGGGCCGCTCCCGAGTTCCCGGGGCCTCGAGGTCGGGGCACCTGCTCGCCGAGTCTCTTCGCGAGCGTCGCGGGGGTGTCGCCCCCGCCCCACCTCGACACCCGTCGCCACCGCGCACCGCAGGCGCTCCGACGCCCGTCGCGGCGCGACGACGAGGCGAGGTTGACCCCCGTCGGGGGGGTCCCCCTCCACGCGTACTAGGAAACCCAGGAGGAGGAGGAGGAGGAGGAGGAGGAGGAGGAGGAGGAGGAGGAGGAGGAGGAGGAGGAGGATGTGTGATGGAGGAAGGGAGGAGGAGGAGGAGGAGGAGGAGGAGGAGGAGGGAGGAGGAGGAGGAGGAGGAGGAGGAGGATGTGTGAGGAAGAGGAGGAGGATGTGTGAGGAAGAAGTAGGAGGAGGAGGAGGAGGCGGAGGAGGAGGAGGAGGAGGAGGAGGAGGAGGAGGAGGAGGAGGAGTATGCTTGTTAAGACACCCGGAGTACTCGTGGCTCAGGCTCGCCGCTGCCAGGGTCAGCCCCATCCGATCCTCGTGCGGCGTGCCTGCTGGTAGCACGACGGCTGCACGCTCTCGCTTTTTTCCCCCGTGTCGCCACCTGCCTCTTGACTGCCACGCCTCCCTGCTGGATCTGCACCCAGGGAGCCAGATGCGAACCCTCCCCCTACCCCCCACGATTTCTGAGGGGGAGGGTGGGGTTCACTTCGTTCGGGAGCTCCCGAGCGAAGCGAACCCCACCCTCCCCCTCAGAAATCGTGGGGGGTGGGGGTAGGGTTCGCATCTGGCCCCCTGGCACCAGGCATCATGCAGTCGGTCATCCCGCCTAAAGCCGCAACGTTCTTCTACTTCGCGTGTCCGTTTCGCCACTTGCCTCACAGTCGATGTTCCATCCCACGGGGCGCGCAATGACAATGGTTTGGATCCGCGGTTGGGGTCATGAAAATTTGGGAAGCCTCGCGGGGTCCCGCCACCGGCAGGGCGTCTCCGAGCTTCCATGGATCCGATTCCCATTTGTCGGTGTCGAGCTCGTGACAGGTGGAGTAAGTTGTTTGCTTGTGCTCTGCTGAGCTTGAAATCCTTGCCAGGAAGCTGGTCAAATTTGCGCCATTGGACTCCGAGCCGCTTTTGCAAACAGGGGGGTGCGCGTCCGCAACTTGACGGGCGAGCATGCTGGGCGTGTTGGCAGCGTCGTCGGCAGCGGTTTGGAGATCGTCCGAGTTCGGCTCGATGGTCGTGGCGCGGTTGTCTACGAGCATTTCGACATCGTCGAGCACGAGCCCGCCGCCAGCGCGCGCGCGGCTTCCGCAGGGCCGGGGGGCCGGGGGGAGGGCGAGAATGTTGTGCCTGAACTCGGCCGTCCTTCCCCAACGCCGTTGACGACGGCGTCCCCCTCTCGCTCGGTTTCGTCGTCTTCGAGCTCTTCTGATGCTCCCGCCCCTGGCCGCCGCGGTGGAGACGGGGATCGTCCCGCGAGGCGGTTTCTTCTTCTTCTTCTTCTTCTTCTTCTTCTTCTTCTTCTTCTTCTTCTTCCCCCCGATAGTTGCACCCACGGACTGAGGAAAGAAGTGCCAAAGCATGAGCTCTTCGGGTTCCACGCGGAGCTCCGAGAGTTTCTGTTTGTGCAGTTTTTACCCTCCGGATGCACGCGGCAGCTGTTCTGTCGCAGAGTCGGCGATCGCGCGGGTCTGTCGGGCAGAGCAGGGACACGGCGAAGCCGCACTGCGCACAGCGGCGGCGGCGGAAGAGGAAGGGAAAGCGACCCAAAATACGCGCAGCAGCACGCGAAGGCGAGCAGAGATCAGCTGCCGCGCTCAGAGGAGCCTCGCCTCAGCGCTCCAGCGCGGCACGTGGCCACAGCGCCGCATGCCTGTCGCGATGCCTCTGCCGCCTCGGTTCCTCTCGGGGGCCTCCTTCGGGGCCTTCTGGAGAGCCTCGACCTTCCTGGGCCCACCTTGCGGGTCTGCTCGATTCCAGGTTCGGCTCAAGTCGACGGACGTTTAACGCAGCATCGGCGCATGAGTGGAGCGAGTGGCTCCAGGTAGGCCCCCGGGAAGGAGCATATGATTGTCGGCCCTGGCATGCGGCCTCCATGAGGTGCAGGAGGACATGAGGAGGATCCAAAGGAGAGGAGGAGGACGGAGGAGGCTGGGCTGGCATGCGGAAGCTTTGCACGCGGCTTCTTTTCTTTAGGGAGCCACGGTCTGGCGAGGGATCGGAGGCGAACGGCTCTGGAATCTGAGCTGGCAGTGCCGGAGGGGATGGGAAGAGGAAGGAGGGGAGGCGGCATGGAGGAGGAGGAGGAGGAGGAGGAGGAGGAGGAGGAGGAGGAGGAGGAGGAGGAGGAGGAGGAGGAGGAGGAGGAGGAGGAGAAGAGGAGGAGGAGGATGCATGCGAGAGGAAGGAGGGAGGTGGATGCAGGACGACAAAGGGATGAGGAGGAGAAGAGGAGAAGGGGGAGGGAGGAGGAGGAGGAGGAGGAGGAGGAGGAGGAGGAGGAGGAGGAGGAGGAGGAGGAGGAGGAGGAGGGGAGGAGGAGGGAGGAGGAGGAGGAGGAGGAAGAGGAGGAGGAGGAAGAAGAGGAGGAGGAGGAGGTGGAAGAGGAGGAAGTCCCTCCCCCCGCAGGGCGCGCTGGGTGTGTGGGCGCTGAGGGGCGCATAGGCGCGGAGGCGGCGCAGCGGGCGCCTGGCTCACCCTTCGACAGGTTCTTCTGTCGTCGTGATCTTCACCGTCGATCGTCGTTGTAGTCTTCGCCGTCGTCGTCAGTCATCGTCGTCGTCGTCGTCGTCGTCGTCGTCATCCGTCCGTCCGTCCTTCCGTTGTCTCAGTTCCGTCTGTCGTCTCCAATCCGTCCGTCCGTCCGTCCGTCCGTCTGTCCGTCCGTCGTCGCCGGTTTTTGCGTCGTCGCTGGTCCGTCGTCGTCGCCGGTCTGTTTTCGTCGTCCGTCGTCGTCGGTCCATCGTCCTCGTCGTAGTCTTCGCCATAGTCGCCGTTTGTCGTCGTCGCTGGTCCGTCGGAGTCCGTCGTCCGTCGTCGTCTGTCATCGTCGTCGTCGTCGCCGTCGCCGTCGTCGTTGTCGCCGTCGTCTTCGTCGTCGTCATCGTCGTCGTCGTCCTTCGTCGTCGTCGTCTTCGTAGTCTTCGCCATCGTCGTTTGTCGTCGTCGTCGTCGTTCTCCATCCGTCTGTCCTTCCGTCCGTCCATCGTCGCGGGTCCGTCCGTTGTCGCCAGTCCGTCCGTCCGTCGTCGTCCGTCCGTCGTCGCGGGTTTGTCCGTCGCCGTCGCCGGTCCGTCGTCGTCGCCGGTTTGGTCCATCTGAGTCCGTCGTCCGTCGTCGTCGGTCCGTCGTCGTCGTCGTCGTCGTCGTCGTCGTCGTCGTCGTCGTCGTCCGTCATCGTCGTCGTCGTCGTAGGCGTCGGCGTCGGCGTCGGCGTCGCTGTCGACGTTGGCGTCGCCGTCGTCGCCGTCGTCGCCGTCGTCGTCGTCGTCGTCGCTTTCGTCGTCGTCGTCCGTCTGTCGTCGTCGCCATCTGTCCGTCCGTCCGTCCGTCCGTCCGTCGTCTTCGTCGGCGTTGTCGTCTGCCCGTCCGTCGTCGTTTGTCCGTCCGTCGCCGTCTGTTCGCCCGTCGCCGTCGCAGTGTCTGGAGCAGTGGCTGAGAGGGAGGAGGTCCAGGCAGGGATGGAGTGCGAGGGAGAGAGAGAATGAGAGAGATTTGTGTGTGTGTCTGCTAGCGGGTCAACATAAACGTTCAAGTCTATGCAGGGGTTCGCCTTTGGCGCGTCTCGTCCTCGGCGGAAGCCGGCCAATGCAGGCGGCGGGCTTGCTGGCGGACGGCGGGGGAAGCGAAAAGCGAGAAGGCAGCACTTGGCATCCGGGGCTTCTGGAGTCGGAGACATCAGAAACGGAGAGAGAGAGAGAGAGAGAGAGAGTGGGCGGGGCAGGGCCGGCACAAGCCGTTCCAGAGCTGTCCAGGTCGCTCTCTCGGAGCGGTCTGGAGCGCTTTGGGACGGCCACGGCGCCTGGTACATCCCCCAGAACTGCCGGATGCTCAGAGGTCCCCGACCTCTCCCGGCCTGTTTTGTTGTCCCAGGCTCCCTCTAGGGACATCATCTACATATATCTATATATAGAGAGAGAGGAAACAAAAAGAGATAGCAAAAAAAAACAAAGAGAAAAGAATAAGGACAAAGTGAGCAGATTCTGGCACAGGTAGGGGAAGGGCTCTGCCTGACCTTGACCTGTAGTCAGGGGCATTGTTAGCGGGGATAGGCGTAGGAGGGCTGCATCAACCCCCAACCGCCTATTGAGCGCCGAGAGGGGCCGGATGGCCCACCCCGCCCGGGAGCATCCAAATTCGCTGTCGGTGGCCTATCGCCGGTGCATCGGCGATGTATCGCCGATTCCGCGTCGATGCTTCCTCCCCCCTGAGCCGGTTCCCTGGCGGTGTTCGGGCGGGCCATGTCTCGGGCCTCCCGGCGGCCGCCTGGGGTGATCTGGGCACGCCTGGAATGCCCTCGGCGAGGCGCAGGTGCCGAAGAGCATTTCGAGGCTGGAAGTCGCAAATCGCCGAGAACCGACGAGAACGTAGGAAGCCTCGGACCTCCAAACGTTTCCCCTCAGGAGGTCGCCACCCTGAACGCTGCCCCTCACGTCATTGGGGTAAGAGGGTGCGGAGGGAAGGAGGCGTGGGACTGATGAGGGCGCCGTGCACGCGGGATGTCGGCAGCGGGCTCGCCGGCGTGCTACGGGCTGAGGCCTCTGCCAAAGGGTCGAGGCCTCCTGAGTTGGGTCCGCGCAGCGCGAGGCCAGGACTTACTAGTTTATTTATCATCATTATTATCTTCATTATCATTATTATTATCATTATTATTATTATTATCATTATTACTATCAGTATTATTATTATGCTTATTATTATTACTTTTATTATTATGATTATTTTTACTATTATTATTATTATTATTTGGTAATAGTATTATTATTTTTATCAGTATTCTTCTTATTCTTCTTCTTATTCATTATTATTATTATTAATATTAATATTATTAGTATTAGTAGTTATTATTATTATTAGTATTATTATTACTACTATGTATATGCATATATATATATATATATATATGTATAACGCTTGGGCCAATAATAATTCGTGCTTGAGCGGTCCAGGAGAGTCAGAGCCGCGTCTCTCGGCATCATCCGAGGCGTAGCAGGCGGCAGGAGGCTGGAGCGCCGGCAGCTCCGTCGGCGCCGCGGCCGCGGGGGAACGATGATCAGAGCGGGGGGGGGGGCCGAACGGTCCTAGTTCGGGGGAGCGTAAGACCCGGGTTTGCCAGGACTCGGGTTCGCCATCGTTTTTTGACGACTGCGCCTCGGATTCTGGCGAGGAGGAGTTTCGTGGGATTGTCTGCAGCGGGAGGCCTCGTCAAAATGCAGGCTCAGGCTCGGCCTCGTCATTTGTTTGACGACCTCGTCGGGGATTTCCGAGTCCCCTGTACCCATGTTTTACGTCCCCCTGATTAGTTTCTCCCTGCGCGCGCTTGGCTGGGTGGGGGGCTCGATTTCTGGGGGGGCGATGCCGTGGGGCAACCCATGGGGGCGATGCTCGGAGACAACTTTTTTCAGGGGGGCAACAGATGAGGGCAACGCTTGGGGGCAATCCACTGGTGCGGTACCTTGGGGGCAGCATTGAGGGGCAACACATGGGGACACTACTTGGGGGCAGTCAGTGGGGGCAGTACATAGGGGAAACGCATGGGAGCAGCGCATGGCATGGGGGACTTACTTGGGCGACGTCTTCGGACGTGGGGCGGCGCCGCCACGCGCGGGCTTGGCGCTCGCCCCCGCCCCTGCGACATCATCCACACATACGGGAGGCATTTATACTTGTTTCGCCGCTGGGAGCCTCCTCCTCCTCCTCCTGCCTCCTCCCCCTCCTCCTCCTCCTCCTCCTCCTCCTCCTCCTCCTCCTCCTCCTCCTACCTCATCCTCCTCCTCCTCTCCTCCTCCTCCTCCTCCTCCTCCTCCTCCTCCTCCTCCTCCCCCCCTTGAGAGAGCACGGGTGTGGGGGGCTGGTCCGCTTCTAATTCAGGGGCTAGCATTCGATGGGTTGGACTCCGCCGCTGTATCGCCGAGGCATCAGCGATGCATCGGCGATTCGGCGCGATCCTCCGACTCCAGCTGCTCGGACCCCATTTGGGAGGCCTCCAAAGGGGCACAGGGTGGAGAGGCGGGTGGCAGGGGGGACGGGGTCCGTTCCCGCGCAATTCGGAGCACGCGCTCCTTTGCACGGCTCGCCCCGGGCGTGTAAGAGTAGACCGTGGCCGGCACTCTCCTCCTCGTCCTCCTCCACTGGTCGGGGGGTGCTCAAGGTGCCCCTGGCCCAAGGTGCCCCCAGCCTTTCGGTCAATTTTGGAATCCCCGGGGCCCTCTGGACCTCGTGATGGGGTGCTCTGGAGGCCGTGGGAGCCTCCCTGGAGATCCTGGGGGCACCTAGGGCCAGGGGCTCTTCTAGCAACACCCGAACCGAGCTCTTTCTAGCGGTGTACTCGTTCGCCCGTGGTGGCGGGGTGAGGGGATGGGGAGGGGAGGTGGGAGGACTTGGGCTCTCGGGGCGCTCCAGGCAGGCCAAGGCAGAGACCTCAGGACGCCGCCTGGGGATCTCGGACGCCTCCCAGGGCGCCGAACGCGCCCAAGCTTCATCCTGACTTCGACCGCCAGTGCAGAATCTGCTGCCCGCACGGTGGCCTCACGAGTTTCTCGACAGGGCCCTGTTTTGTGTTGTGAGGTCGTCTTAAAACTGTGATCTGGCAAGCTGCTAGGTGATGCCGGCGGACCCACTGTTCCGAGCGCTCAACGAGACTCGATACCGTCCTCCTCCTCGAATGCGACGACGATCTCCTCCCCGTTAGCGGTCCCCGGCGTTCCTCCAGGGGGCTCTGCAGGGCTCCAGAAGCTCGCCGAGGCTCCTTTTTCTCCTCCCCCTCCTCCCCTCCTCCTCCTCCTCCTCCTCCTCCTCCTCCTCCTCCTCCTCCTCCTCCTCCTCCCCCTCCTCCTCCCCCTCCTCTGATCTCCTCCTCCTCCTCCTCCCCCTCCTTCTCCTCCTCCTCCTCCCCCTCCTCTGATCTCCTCCTCCTCCGCCTCCTCCTCCTCCTGCTCCTCCTCCTCCTCTCACCCGAGGGCTGCGGCCTTGCCCTCGAGCCGCGGTCCTTCCCCAAGAACCTCCGGGCCCAGGGGGGGGGGGGGGGCGCCGGGCCTGCTCTCCGTTCGGCGCACCCCGCGCAGCAGCGCAGGGCGCATCCCGCCGCGGCCGCGAGAGGCCTGCCGGAGGCCCTCCCCCTGAATCGGGCATGCCCCTCTGCAGGAGGAATCTTCAAAGATAGTCAACAAATAGTAAGGGGACGGTTTTTCGAATGGTTGATCTATACATATACGTACATGCCTATATCAGAGTGAGGGGACTGAACCTAAATGTCATTCATTGTCCCTGGGTGCGTGGCTGAAGTGGAATTCCGCGATGCGGATTCTCGTTCTTGCTGTTGCTCTTGTTGTTGTTGTTGTTGGTGGTGGTGGTCTTGTTGTTGTTGAATACTATTACTTCTAAAGAATAATTATTGTTGGGCCCCCTGGTGCACGCCCCCCTCGCCGCGCCTAGGCCGCAGCCACATTTTCATCATTTTCGTGAGGAAGTCTCAGGCAAAACGGGGGAGTCCGGATCCGGTTGTTTTGTTGACGCCCGCTTTCCCGGTCAAAAAACAATATAAAATGACATGTCTTGTTCTAACATAGCCAAACTTCAATAATCCTTTGCAGAAAATGACACGAAGTGCACACTCGCGCGCGCAAGATGAAATCCTTCCAAAACCTTAGTTTTCGTAGCGATTTTAACATAAAACATGAAAAACCCAATGGTTTTTCAAAAAAAAAGTTTCAAAAATTCATCCCGCGCGCTCTTGCGGATTTCTTAGGAAACCCAATACTTTTTCAACATTTCTGTCAAACGGGCTCTTGCGAGCAACTTTTTCACGTGCTTCGAACTTCTGCAACAACGGTTGCGCGCATGCCAGGGCCATCATCCCTGTCAAATAATACCATATGGGACACATTCGTTTTTTCTTCGCGCGCGCACGCCGAAATCTTCAAACACCATTGGGTTTCTTAAGAATTTCAGCACCGCGTATCATAAAATCGCACGAATCGCACCGTAGGTCCTCGAAAAACACGTGCACGGATTTTCAAAATTTCTACCCGCGCGCGCTGTCCGAATCCTTAAAAACCAATGGTTTTTCAACATTTATGTTACATGAGCTCGCGCGAGCTACTTTCGCAAGCTCTTTCAACGGCGTTCGCGCGCCTGCCAGGGGCCACAATCCGCCAGTGTAGTAGCCACGCGCCAGTGTAGTAGCCACGGTCGTCCGCAGGCCACGAAGTGAAGTGTCCGAACGTCATAGGGCGGGAAGCTGGGTGTGGGTGGTGGCGAAGAGTCGTTTGGAAATGTGGTAGAGCTTGAACCGGCCCCCCCACAAAGTGGGGGTATTGGCGGGCGTCGTATGAAAACCCTGGCACTGGTGAGAACGGAGTGTCCCCACGTGCTATTAATTGTTGTTGTTGTTGTTGCTGTTGTTGTTGTTGTTGTTGGTGTTGTTGGTGTTGTTGTTGGTGTTGGTGTTGGTGTTGTTGTTGTTGTTGTTGCTGTTGTTGTTGTTGTTGCTGTTGTTGTGTTTGTTGTGTTTGTTGTTGTTGTTGTTGTTACTGCTGCTGTTGTTGTTGTTGTTGTTGTTGTTGTTGTTGTTGTGTTTGTTGCGTGTGTTGTGTTTGTTGTTCATTGTTGGTTGTTTGGTGTTTGGTGTTTGTTGTTTGTTGTGTGGTTGTTGCTTGTTGTTTGTTGTTTATTGTTTGTTGTTTGTTTTTTGTTGTTTGTTGTCGTCGTCCCACCCGCGACCCGCCCTGCGACCCACCCGCGACCCACCCCGCGACCCACCCGCGACCCACCCCCGCGACCCACCCGCGACCCACCCCCGCGACCCACCCGCGACCCTCTCGCGACCCACCCGCGACCCACCCCGCGACCCGCCCGCGACCCACCCCGAGAGCCCCCTGGCGACCCACCCGCGACCCACCGGCGACCCACCCGCGTTCCAGCCCGCGACCCACCCGCGACCCACCCGCGACCCACCCGCGACACACCGCGACCCACCCGCGAACCCACCCGCGACCCACCGCGACCCACCAAAATTGTTCGGCGCCTGCGGCGGGTTTCTTTTGCATTCTTTCCAGGTGGAGAACCTGCGACCCACCCGCGACCCAACCCGCGCCCGCGACCCACCCGCGACCCACCCGCGACCCACCCGCGACCCACCCGCGACCCACCCCGCGACCCACCCCGCGACCCACCCAAAATTTTCGGCGCCTGCGGCGGGCTTCTTTTGCATCCGTTCCAGGTTGAGAAACTGCGACCCACCCGCGACCCAAACCGCGTTCAGTGTATAAATAAAAATCTTCGGCGCCTGCGGCGGGCTGTTTTTGAATTCCTTCCAGGTGGAGGTGGAGAGCCCGCGACCCACCCGCGACCCAAAGGACGTTCACTGAACAAGTCAAAATTTCGGCGCCTGCGGTGGGTTTCTTCTGCATTCGTTCCAGGTGGAGAACCTGCGACCCAAACCGCGTTCAGTGTACAAATCAAAATGTTCGGCGCCTGCGGCGGGCTGTTTTTGAATAGATTCCAGGTGGAGGTGGAGGGCCCGCGACCCACCCGCGCCCCAAACTACGTTCAGTGAATAAGCCAAAAATTCGGCTCCTGCG